GCAGATGCTCCAATGTGTGTATGCTTACATTTGGCACAAAAAGGGGCAAGCCTCCAAAAAACCAGGGCAGGAGACCCCCACCATCACCAACTATACACAGTCCTAGCAGTTCCAAGAATGCAGGAAACAGCAAGAATCTCTGTCCCTAATGCACCAGCCTGGGGAGCCCACCCACTGTTAGCCTGAATAACGGAAATCCATGCTGCTGGCGCTCCATCCTCCAGCCCTTCTTTCTCCATTATACCCATCTACAGAAAGACCAGAAACCACTTTCACCATTCACGGTTGGGATCATGGCTTGAAATGGTCAACTGCCAGTCCCAGTGAGACACTGACTTGTCCCCTCTGAACACTGGGAGGCAGCTGCCAGCTCAGGTTGGTGCAAAGGGTGCTCACCATTCAGCAATGTCCAATAAGAAAGCTCCCTACAAACCCCGACTGGAACTCCAAATACACCTAGAAAATGAAACCCTAGTGCCAGTCCTGTCTTTTGGGGATGGAGCTCGATACTCATGCTCCTGATATTACATCCATTGGTCATTACATTTATGTGTGTGCTAGGAGAGTTAATCTGTGGTCAATGTAAACATTAAAACTACACTACACTGCCTTTTTTTTTTAACCTTGTATTGGCATATCTGCATTTTGTAGTTTCCTGGGAGCCTTTTAATTTGAAAATAGCCAGGCCTCCTTAATCGCAAAGAGGGTATGCCTAAGCCCACACATGGAAGAGTTCACAAACTGCATTCCTTCCTTCACCAGAAGACACATGGCAGGTGTGTGGACATAAAGCAGGGATTCCAACCCTGCTGGAGAGCTTTAAAGAACAAGTAAGTCATGTCAGTGTTTCCCCAAATATGACATGAAACGAGGGGCGCTTCACCCCTGTGGTGTTCCTCCCCAAACACATAGCCCCAGTCTGACCAGAAAAAACATCGGACAAACCAAAACTCAGAGATGTTCTACAAAATACCTCACTCGTACTCTTCCAAAGGTCATGGTCTTTCAAGGTCATGGGAAACAAGGGTAGTCTGAGGAACTGTCACAGAGCAGAGCAGACTAAGCAGACATGACAACTCAATGTAATACAGTATCCTTGATGGGACCGATTCATATTTTTTTTTAAATTCCTGGCCCTTATTCAAACCAGTTACAACTGTAGCTCTCCTTTACATTCCAAGACCCACAGTGGATTCCTGAAACAGCAAATAGTATTAATTCCTACATATACAATGTGTTTTCCTCTACATACATACCTATGATAAAACTAATTTACAAATCAAGCATGGTAAGAGATTAACAACAATAATAAAATAGAACAATTATAACAATATGCTGCAACAAAGGTTATGTGAATGTGGCCTGCCCTCCTCTACCTCCTTCTCTCTCTCCCTCTCTCTGCTAACCATCTGACAACCAAAAATGCTACCACGTGACTAAGGGCAGGTAGCAGATGGAGCATGGGCCTGCTGGAGAAGGGATGATGCCCATCCCAGCAGCACAGAGCAGGACAACACAAGATTTCAGAATGGCACACATTTTAAAACTTGTAAATTGTTAATTTTTGGAATTTTCTGTTTAATATCTTCAGACCAAGACTGCTCACGTGTAACCGAAACTGTGGAAAGCGGAACCACCGATGAGGGAGAAGTACGATAAATCAGAATCTCGGTCATGAGCAGCTCTCCCGGTGATCCCGGCGTGCCGGCAGGGTTAAGAACCAGAGACCAGGGTTTCCGACCATGTGTGCATCAGCATCCCCTGGAGGGTTTACTGAAACGTTGCTGGGCCCACCTGAGTTTCTGTTCAGGACTTCCAGGGCAGCGTCTGAGAATCTGCATCTCTAACACCCTTCCAGGTTATGCTGATGCTGCCAGTCCTGGGACCACTGATCTGGATCCTTGCAACTCCAAGTGTGGTCCTCTGACTGCCAGCATCAGCAGCCCCCTGGAGCTCGTTTGAAATGCAGACATTCAGCCCCACCCAGACCTGCTAAGTCAGAATCTGTGTTTTAATGGGAGTCCAGCTTATTCCTTTCCACGTGAGTCTGAGAGGCACTGCTCTAGAATGAAAGCGCAGGGAGAGATGAGGAAATGGGAGCTGAAACGGCAGCAGTCAGGGGCTTGATACCCATCACTGCACCGCTTCACCAACCTGGCCTTCCTCTCACACCTGGGAAAGGAAAACATAGGAAGAAAACATCACAGGAGCTCCGCCACTATTAAGCCAGAGGCAGAACTCAGCAGAAAGAGTGTTTTGTGCCCTGGGTGGGGCTGCCCGGAGCAGAGCGCGGTGACCTGGCTGCGGGGGAAGTGGGTGACCTGGCTGCGGGGGAAGTGAGCTGCTGGCGGGTGCTGAGGCAGGCTCCAAGGAAACCAGGCCAGGAGGCGCTCGGCGCAGGGAAATGGACATCGCAGCCCAGTCTAAGGTTTAATTTTTACTCTGCTGAGGGCTGACCTCATCCTTCCTTCAGAAAAGGAGAGAAAGCCAAGCTAGTCCGTGAAGCTTCACAATGGGAAGGACGGGGTGGGGGAGGGCGGAAGGAAAGGAGGTGAGAGCAGAGTCTTTTTGAACGAATGGGCTCTTACCAAAATGTTTGCAGACAGAAGGCTTAGGGGAGTGAGCCTTCCACAGTTCCCCTGTGGCCAGCTGCCTGTAGCAGCGGCACCTGGTCACCTCTGGCACTCCAGGCCTCTTGTTAAATACAGGTGCCCCGATCCAGCCAAGCAAACATCGCGGCTCCAATAGGCCAGGCTGCAAGGAACACACCCTTGCTGCAGCTTTACTCCTTCTGTGAAGAACTGCCCACTGACCAGTTTCCTACTTAGCCCCCAGCTCCTCGTGGCTGCACCCTTAAGACCACTTAAGACCCAAGTGTCACTCTGTGTGGCTCTATGTAACGCCTCCCATTTGCTAGCACTGAGGGTCATTCCACACCTCTCAGCCGGTCCTGCCCCTGAGGATCTGCTTCAGGGCCTGTTGGAGCCGCTTTCACTTTCTGAGATAGCATTAGACACTTGCATTCTCAAAGCCCTGCAGCTGTGGCAGGAGGACCCTAGGGAGCCTGTCATGCTGAAAGTGCCACCTGTGATGCCCCGGCTCTGAGGAAATGAACCTGGCAACCAAACAAGGCAGCATTCCTCATGGAGGATGAGTGGCATGGGTAGCTTCTTTAACACACAGATGTCGACATCCCTGCAAACAAAGTATTCCAAGATCCTAAATATCTGCATGTTTATTGAGCACTTACTACAAGCCAGGACATTTGCACTTACTGTTGGCTGGGAACATATCTGAGGGTGCTCCACCCAGTGGACGCAGAGTTAGAACGCCTCTCTCCTCCACCTGAGGAGCGGAAGGGATGGGAAAGAGCCATGCTGCCCCAACGAAAGAAGCCAACCTAAGGTGACTAAGTATCCAAGTGTTAAAAGAGAAAACACTCTTCAAAGTAAGTCTGTGGTGCCCTCCTGACACCCTGTCATTGCTGGGAGAAACAAGTCACAGAACTTGACCACAAAGCTCCAAACCCAAATGAATTCACGGCAAGTCCCACAGGACAGGGGAGGAAGCGGGACAAAGGTCCCATGCAGAGGCCCACACGAGCCCTCTGTGAACTGCAGAGCAGACAGCCGGAGAGACGACCTCCTGCAGCTCTGGGCTCCACAGACGGCTCCACCCAGGCCGAGCAGAAGGCAGGGGTCAGTAGTCGGACAGTAAAGACGCATTTCAGGCCAAGGGCACAGGATGAAAAGACACCAGAGTGATTGCTATCGGATGAAGAATATATCGGGTCTTTGTCCCTGGCTCCTGGGAGAAAACCTCTGACTCCCTGGAATTTCCCAGTGACAGGAGTGTCTTTGATATTCACATTGTGCCCCTTGGATTGCATCTGAGTTCCTCTAGGTGACTCAGGATGGGGGCTACACCAGCCCCATCTACCTGGGAACAGATGGGGCCTGGAGTTCAAGTGGTCATGTGGTCAGTGACTCATCAGTCATGCCTGTGTAATGAAGCCCTGACAAAAACTGCACATTGAAGCTCCATGAGCACACTGCTGCACCAAGAGGGGGTGTGTCCCGATTCTACAGGTAAGGACTCGGGAGCCCTGCACTCAGGGGCCGCCCAGACCTCGCCTGATGCCATTTGGCTGGTGCTGATTGGTATCCTTTACAATAAAACTGTATTCACAAATACAGTGACTTTCTGAGTTCTGAGTCATTCTAGAAAATGACTAAATCTGAAGGGTGGGGGGAGCCTCCAAATTTGTAGTCAATTGGTCAGAACCTCGGGTGGCCTGGGGACCCCCAAACCTGCAGCTGTGTTTGAAGTGAGAGCAGTCTCATGGGGAACCGTGACCTTAAGCCTGTGGGGTCTGCACCAACGCTGAGTGGTCGGTGTCAGATTTGCACTGCAGAGTGTAGTAGTCCAGGTCCATGCTGCCTTGGGCCCTGGGGAACCTGCTGGACTCAGTCTGCATTTTCCAAGACTTTCTGTCTCCATTACCCATCCACTCCTCCATCCCCACTGAAAATCCAATTGCCTCCAAAATCACGGTGTTTGAGACCCAATGCAGGCACATATGACAGCCTAAAGAACAATCAGTACAACCCATGTCACAGCACTATGGGATAAAAACTGAGGCAGCTGTGTGGCTTCAGGCAAATTACTAAACCTCTCTGAGCCTTGGCTCCCATCTCTGAAGAGGAGGCTAATGACCACTCACAGAGCTGATGGGACAAACCAATGATAGAATTTACTTACGAAGAGCCCAGCATGTTCTTGCACATGCGGGAGGCACTCAACAGTCATCAGCCTACTCCTCTCCTACTTTCAAACCGCCCTGCACCCAAACTCCCCCAGCCCCTCTCCACTCCCTGGTATCTGTTCTGGGTGCTGGGGCCCACTGGCAGCGTGCTGCTGTTCCACATCTCAGGCTGGCAGGAAACCAGCCATTAAACCAGAAGTGAAAAGCAAGTAACCATTACCTTGAAGAAAAGGACATTTATATTTACTCCAGTAACTACAAAAGACACCATAAAATATAACACACAGTATGCATCCTCATGATTAATAACAGATCTTGCAAATTATTCTCTCAGGTGCCTAGGTACATTCAAATGGTCACTAAGAACAATTAATTCTTTCGGGAAATAAAGGGATTGCAAATCGTCTCTGGTCCGTGGAAAATCTACTCATTGTATTAGGATTAATGGGAACAGAAATTAGGCTCAAACTCGGGGGTTTTCCACCCCATGAACGGGGTAGAATGGGATCAGAGAGACTCAAATGTAATCACTGTCTGAGAGCAGCTGTGCTCAGGGAGAGCCAGGACCTCCTGAATCTGGGGGCTGACAGCTCTGGGGAGTGACCGGCAAAGAGAGGGGACCTGTTCTCCAGCAAGCTCAGAGACCACACTCTCCTCCAACAAACTCAGACTTCCTACTAGTTAACAAAGGAAGGGTTAACAGAAGTTGGGAGTCTTCAACCCAGCAGCCCCTGGAGACCGTACAGGCCTGGGAGTTACAGCCGGAGCCTGGGATGTCCCAGAAACAGGTGCAGACGAGCGTGCTGGAAGGGGGCAGGCTGGCAGCAGGCAATAAGGTGCAGCAGAGTCTGGACAGGTGACAGGGAGTTTCCGAGTGGAACCCTAGCCACGGTAAATGAGGCTCAGTCTCCAGTCTGAGGCTAAGGGCTAAGTCGGGAAGCAATTAGTAGGACAAGGCAGGTGCCAGGTCACTGGGAATTAGGTGAGAACCCAGGAGAACCAAAGTCAGAGGTTTCTGCTGAGCCTCTGAGTTCTGGCCGTGGGCTTCTGAACAACAGCAAGCAAGGTCTAAGTCTTGGAAGATGAGAGAAACCTACCAGAAGCTGGAAGTGGCCTCACAGGGGCAGGCCAGAGAAACACAGAGGCAAAAAGCCAAGCAGGACACAACGGCACGTGGTGTCCAGGGCCATTCCTATCCGACGGCCAACGGCCAAAGTAGATTCTCGCCCAGCCTAGAATAAAAATCCCACCGACTGAGAGCTGCCCTGCAACCCTGAGAGGGTCTCACCGAACACAGCACATAAGACACCACAGGGGTCCCCATGACAGCAGTGAACTCACAGCTGCAGCAGAGACTCGCTCGCTAAGGGGCGACACCTCTGGGGCATGGCGGGGCAAGGAGAGGGAACCTGTTCTCCAGCAAGCTCAGAGACCACGCTCCCCTCCAACAAAATCAAACTGCCTGCAAGTTAAATGTGGCCCCAGTGGGACTCATGGTCCATCCTGACACAGGAGGGGCTCATGGGAGTGAGAGGACATCTAACCCAACGGCACCTGCAGGGAGCGGGACAGCAGACTGCGGGCCATCGCGCTCAGTAAGGACTGAAAACTATGGCATGGTTCAGCGGGTGGGCTCCGAGACAGGGGCTGCAGCACGGGGCAGGAATTCCAGAGGCAGAGCAGGATGGTACCCTGGGCAGTGACCACGGGCTCCAGGCCACCACGTGGCAGAAACAGGGCAACTGGTAGAGATGTGCCGAAAGAATGAGTGAAAAGACCCCTGGCCACTACAGAGCCCACCGAAAAACGGAAGAGGGCAGGAGGTCCACTCAGTGTGGAGCAGGCAACAGCCTGCAAAGCAGGGCCAAGACCCAGCTGGTCAGCCTTAGCGCCTTCACCCGCAGAATGAGTTCATGCAGGTCGATCTGCCATAAGCTGAAGGCCTCGCGGAAGGAGATCTGGGTCCTTCTGAAGAATGAACAGGTAGTCTTCTTGTTGTGCCTGCAGGAGGGACGAGAAGAGAGGAGAGAACCAGAGATAAAGAGGCAAGAAACGTTCAGGATCATTCGGAAAAACAGAAGAGTGTGGCTTTGCCAGCTCTCAGGCCCCCGCCCCAATGCACGAATCCCAGTTACGCGATCACACCACTGCCCATCAGGGACCAGAGGGACTCAGCCACCCGAGTTTTCCAGGTAAGTGGGGTAAGGAAGCACAGCCAGCCGTGTCACGGGGGATCAAAGGCCCAGTGGACTCACTGGGTACAATGTTTCAAAGCTTCTATTGTCCCGAGAGTATAGTGAGCATTTATCAAGCCAGAACCTCCCAAACTCAAATATAAAAGCTTCCCCACACTTTCTGAAGGCAAGAGTCACCTGGAGACCTGGTCAGGTGGTCCCAGGAGGCTGAGGCCCTTACGGAGGCAGCCCAGCTCAGTCTCTCCGCACCGACAAAAGGACACAGTGAAAACTGGTGTTTGTGATGTAACCTATTCCCAGCTTCCTTTCCTGGACCCTCCAAGGAAGATAAATCGTGTTCAGCCCTTTCTGTGTGCAGTCTAATTTTCTCTGACCTGATTTGATATTTGACAGTGGGTACATGATACCGGTGGTCAACTCTCCCTTCACCAAGTAGTTGGCGAGAATGGCCCCTTCCCTGCGCACGACGGATGGGCTGGGAGATGAACCCGGTGGAGGCCTCCCCTCTCGGGGGGCAGCCTTTGGCCACAGCACGAGCCTGCCCACACCTATGCCACCCTCAGGGAAAAGGGCCTAGCACTCTTGCTCCTCTGTGCCTGCCTCCCTGAGGAAGTGCCCCCCTACTATCCATCCACACCACAGGGGTGATGAGGCATCTCATCACCTGATGATCCTGAGATCTGAGATCCTGGGAGAACCCAGAGTCAGCTGCCACCCTTTCCTGTGTCACAACCACACCTATAGGGGAAAGAACTCCTGGGGAGACAGGTCCCGGGACCAGGCAGAGGTGGAATGTGCATCAGGCCATCCTGATCCGAAGCCCAGGGCACACTTGGGTGGGACTGAGACTTTCAGAAAACATTTCAAACTTTACTGAGGGTAAGAATCACTTGAAAAGCTTGACCGGGAGGGTGAGGACCTAGAATCCACCATTTTCAAGTGCGGGTGGCCCTCTGGACCACCCGGAACACTGCCCCGAGGCAGCAGCCAGTGTGCTGGAGCAGTTCTCGGCCCCTAAATTCCTGCAGGGAGATCTGAAGACCAGGACACAGGGGCAGGGCCCTGGGGACCAGCGGGAGAAAGTGGAGGGGAGCGGGACTCCTCAGGCAGGCCAAGGAGCTGGAGGGGCAGAGGAGCCGGAGCCCACACTCACGTGGCCAGCGCTCTGATGCAGCAACGTGACATGTTGAGGAAGGAGCTGGCGCTGGCGCGGGTGCCCAGGGCGGCCTCGATGCCGCGCAGCAGGTCGTTGGTCTTGAAGATGAGCAGCATCTGGCGTGGCACGTGGTTGAGGAGCTGGCTGATCTGGGGGAGGTAGTTGGCCGCATTGTTGCGGATCTCTGAGTCCTAAAACAGCCGCAGGGAGACAGAAATAGTGGGTGTGGGAAATGGAGCTCAGGATGGCAGGTATCCAAGCCTGTGACCCGAGGGGCTGCGAGAACGCTCCAGGAGGGAGCTGCTGGCGCAGCTGCCTTGGTGCTACTGGAAACCCTCCTGAAAGGGAAGCTTAGCGCAAGGAGACTTCACATTTGATGTTTGATGAATGCCCATCCTCCAGGCCTCCACACCAGTACCAACTGCAGCAGGAAACCTACCTTCCCACCAACCATGTGATGAGGCTGGGGCCTCTCAGCCCAGGTGCCCACCCCTGAGTTACTCTTCAAGGCTTCTTTCCTGGCCACCACTTTCAGGCCAGCCTCGGAAGGAGCCCTGGAAGCTGGCACCGGCTGAGTCGCGTCCCCCATCCCTTCAGCCAAGCCCAGGCTCCTGCAGGTCATAGATCTGAGCTCCTGACCCCAACCGAGCTCCGAAGTCCTGCCCATGCCCTGCCTCGGTCAGCACCACACCCAGAGCCCCCACCACCCACACAGCCCTGCCCTGTCGTTGAGCCCCCCTCGGAGCCCATCTCAGCCTATCCGTGCCCAAGGCCCTGGTGCCCAGAGCAGCAATCAGGGCTAGCCAGCCCTTGCCCCATGCTGGGCTCTGGCTTCCCACCCTTCCCCGTCCCTGAGGTCTCCACGGCTCTGGGCAAATTAACTGCTCCCCACTAGAGTCCTGAGTACAGCACTGAGGCTCTGGTCCCTCCTTGGTCTCCAGAGAAACAATGAGAATGACAGTGACAGTGACAACAGCCAACACATACTGCACATTCACCAAGTAGACCAGGTGCTTTGAAAATGCTTGCATGTGTTAACTCATCGAATCCTCACAACAACCCTAACCAGGCAAGGGTGTTACCTGCTTTGAGAGGGGAAACTGAGGCCCTGGGAGCTAAAGTGACTTGCCTGACATCCACAGCTGGGAAGTGGTGAGTCAGGTGAGTGGTGGGCTCAGGAAGTCCCACTCCCAAGCCCACAGCCTCACCACCAGGCCATCCTGCCCCTCCTCTCCCAGCGGGCTCTGTGAGCCTGGACAAGTCCTTCCATCTTCTCTGAGCCAGTGTCCTCACCTACAAACTGGCACTGCCAGTACCCTCTGTGTCCACCTCCCAGCAACACCGAGAGGGCCATCGGAGAGAGATAAGGCATGGGGAGGCGCTCGGTGCCAACGGGAGTCACAAGGGGCGCCCCGGTGCTGCCAAAGGCTGCGCCGCCTGGCCGCGTTCTGCAGCAGAAGCAGAGCTCGCTGCCCTTTCGGGGGCACTTGTGCAGTGCTGATAACTGCACTGCTGGGGAGCCTGAGACGCCCCTGGGGCAGGAGCCGTCAGACTGGAAGAGCTCAGCACGAAGCCAGACGCCCAGAGGCCGCCTGCCTGCCCACCACCTCCCGCCACAGCTGCAGGTGGCCCTGCCAGAGGGCTAAGCCCTCATCAAAGCCCCGCTCACCACGGGGACCCCCCTTTTAGCAAGGCAGGGACTGGCCTGGAGACAGCCCCTCTCAAGCCAAAGCAAAAGCACCCGAGCCCACCCAGACTGCCTCAGGGGGACATCACAGCCTGCCATCTTGGACACACCCGGGTGAGTCAGGACGGTGGGTGTCGGCAGGAGACCCCACTGGGTGTCCATCTGACAGCCTTCCCCCCATTCTCCTTCGTAAAAAGAGCCCCCTCTTTGTTCTTTTGGCCCCTTGGGGCTGTGCTCTTCAGGGAGGCAGAGCCCCTCCCTAGCCCCAGGTCACCGACGGATCTCAGTCAATACCGGCTCTGAGCTCAATGCCCCTGCCAAGTGATTGGTTTAGGCATGAACATGTGACATGATTCTGGCCAATAAGGCACGAGGAGAAGTCTTTTGGGGGAACTTCTGAGAAGGGGTTTTTTTGCTCTTGACAAATAATATATGAGAAGAGCCCTCATTGCCACTTCCGATCACCACATAACAAAGATGTAAAGCTTGGACCCACAGAGCCATCTTGGGGTCATGAGAGGAGACCAAGAGAATCACGGGGGAGTCGGCCCAGAGCCCTGAGACTGTCGACCTGCTCTGCTCAGTCGGCAACCTGCACCCACCCACCTCCAGGCTTCTTGCACAGAGAGCGCAGGTTCCTAATTGTTGAAGCCACTTTTCATTGGGAAAAGTCCTCCTTGATACAATGTTGCAGGGTCCCTGAATTCTAAGTTAGACTAGGACTCAGGAAAGTGGGCCCTTCCATCTCAGAGACCCGGCTGGCCAAGAGTGTTAAGTATTCTCCACCTGGGTTTTTTTTTTTGTCCAAAGCGAGCAAATGCCGTCTATGTCTCCGGAACCTACACAAACCCCTCTCCGCTAGACCTGGCCACAGAACAGCAGAGACCTCATAAAAGATGGACCAGACGGAATGCCCGCGGTTCAGGCTCTCACCAACGAGTCAGAGAGTTCACGTAAGCACAGGAGACAGAGTATAAGGTGCTTGCACACACATGACACACGTATTAAGGGATCACTTTTGGCAAAGGTATGAGAAGAGGCTTCCGGGGCTGGTGCTCTGGACTGGATTGTACCCCCACAAAATCCCTAAGTGGAAGTTCTAACTGCAGCGTGATGACTTAGAGACAGGGCCTGGAAGGAGATCGTTAAAGTTAAGTGCATTCGTAAGGGGGTGGGACACCTGATTCAATAGGACTGGCGTCCCTAAGAGAAGAGGAGGAGATGCCAGGAGTGTGCACACCCAGGAGGAAGGCCGTGCGAGGACACAAGGAGGAGGCGGCCGTCTGCCAGCAGGGGAGAGAGCTCCCTCCAGAAGCCAGCCCTGGTGATGCCTTGATATGCACTCGAGCTCCAGAACCAAGAGAGAACACAGTTCTGTCGTTAAGACGCCCAGCTGGAGGCGTTCTGTGATGGCAACCCAAGCAGATGACTACAGTAGCGTTTATGCCGGGTCTTTATCAATGAATAAGAATGCAAAAATAAAATTCAAACTTAGTTAATAAAATCAGATATCATTTATTGAGTACCCACTTGGGCCAGGTGACCTTGTCCACTCCTGTGGCTGTAAATACCACCTGTCTGCTGAGGACTCCCAGATTTCTCTCTCAAGCTTGGACCCCTTCTTTGAGCTCCAGGCGTGAGGGCCCATGACACCTCTATCTGAATGCTCGAGAGAACTGCTGACACCCCCAACCCTAAATGTGGCCTTCTCAAAGTCCTCCCTATGTCAGGGAGCGGCACCACCCTCCCCTGTCCTGTGATTCACCCCAAAGAACTGTGACACAACTTTTCATCCTCTCGACATCCAAGCCGACGGGAAAGCCTCTCAGACTTAAGTCCACTTGCTTCTCTCCGCCTCTACTGCCATGAGCGTAGTCTGAGCTCCCAGCACCTCTCCACGTGGAGCTCTGCCCCAGCCTCCTAGCTAATCACCCCATCGCTCACCTTGCCCCGCTCCGGAGAGATACTTAAAGTAGCAAGTCTGAGCATGTCCTTCTCCTGCTTAAAGCCTCTCGAAGGCTTTGCTTTGCACTTAGAAGTAATCTAAACTTCTTTCCATGGCTTATACGCCCAGAGTGATGCTCCCTCCGCGTGGTGCTCAATTCCTCCCATTCCACCAGCCGCCTCGCCACACTCTGGACCCCAGCAAGCTCTCTCTCCCCCAGGCCTTGGCACACTGTGCGTGCTCCGTCTGGGATGCTTCCTCCCAGCTCTTCCTGCGGCTGGTGCCTTTCTTGTCCTCCGGGCCTCAGTTTAAATGTCAACTCGTCGGAGATCTCTCCTCTGAGCATTCAATTTATGGCACCCCCAACACAAGCTTATTTCCTCCTGATACATACAACCTGCAATGATTCCATTTACCTGTTTGTTCTCTGGTTTACTGTCTGTCTCCCTCAACCACAGTGCAAATTACAAAGAAGGACTGTTTGTCCGCTCACGGCTGGGTCCTCAGCACCTACTCCAGGGTCCAGCAAAAACAAATGTTTGCTCAGTGAATGGGCTTCAGGAGCTGTGGAGAGGCACTTCCCGTGCACCATCAGTAAAGCGGAAATTTCCATCCCATTCAACAAAGGAGGGAGGCTGTCTGTCTGCTTCCCAGAGGACAAGCTCCAAAGCCACGTAGGCCTGGGGCAGCTGGTGATCATCTTTTGCCCCCAAGCTTGCTGGAGAATGATGGAAACTTGGAGGAAAGCAGACAAGAGATGGAAACAGGTGCCCTCTTAAGTGACATCATTGGACACTCTGCATCCAGCCATTCCTAAAGCCACCTGCCACAAGACAGGTTACAGGGCACTCCCTGAGGCTCAAAGAGGTGACGAGAACTAGCCACGGCCATGCCACCAGGAAGAGCGGGTGTTGGAACCAGAACCCAGGGCTTTCCAACTGCACAAGCAGGACCCTGTCCCTTGTGGTTCGCCCGAGCCCATCCCCACAAGGACACCGGCACGTCTGCCTCCGCCTGGCCAACTGGCAGGCTGGGAAGGCAGAAGTCCATTCCATGGTGGACTGAGAGGCCAGGGAGGGAGGGAGTGCTGAGCCAGGAAGAATGAGCGGCCGCAGGAGCCCCTGTGGTGGGGCAGGGGTGAAAATGAGTGCAGGCAGGAGATGTCACTTGGATGGGTCTTAGCCCAGACTCGGTAGAACTACTGTCTAGTTCCGATGAAGAAATGAACTACCGAAAAAGACCAGAAAGCCGTTTCACTAAAAACTCCGTAGAGCAACGGGACAAGAGACAGCGCATGAGAACTGAAGCACTATCCCCAGTGGGGTGCCCCAGAGGAACCACACAACGGAGACAGTCCCCAGGAAGAGACAGCAGACATGATCCCAGGTGTATGTACGAGACAGTCTCTGGGGACTCCCAGGGGACCTGGGAGGGAGCCTTGTGGAAGCCCGAAATCTTGTGTGAGCAGGTTGCACTGAAAGCCTCAGAAGTTTGATCACATGGTTAGTGTGACCTGTTTGTACTCCAGGTTGATAAGAAGGGCAGGAATGGGATATCACTCCCTGTCCCTCCTTCTATCCAGGGACACTGTCTCTCCTCCCCTCCCTCTTTCTCATCCGGTGTAGCTCCCCTTCTGCCCACAACTCCCACCAGACAGAACCTCAGACCCTGGATAGGAAGGAGCCCAAAGGCCATCATCCCTGGTCCTGCCCCTTCCGTTCAGGAGAGGGCAGGGCCAGGAGGGGCCACCTACCTCAGTGGCAGTGACTGGAGCTTGGCTGATGCCCCTGTTGACCGAGTTCCACGAGCGGGCAGTCAGCATGCAGGCAAACAAGGGGTAGAGTTCGCCAGCTCCCAGGCGCTGGCTGTACTTCTTCACCCTCTTCATGTCCGTCCAGATCAGCGACTGCCAGAGGTGGCAGTAATCCAGGCGGAACTCTTCCGTGAGCACCTGTGGGGGTGGGGGGCAGCTGTCACCACATCTGAGCCTCCTCTCCCTATTCTCCCTACCGAAGACCCAGTCCCTGGCTGGAGTGACCACTGTGAAGGGGATGAAGACCATGGCTCCTGCACAACGTCTGCTTCCCTCTCAAAGTTCAGCCATCCTTGAAGGTCCAAGTTCAAAGCTACTATACGGCCAGCCTTGGTCCTAAGTGGCAGAAATTACCAAGTGCCCACCAAAATCGCACTCCCCATATCCCCCCTAGTTAGACGTGGTCTTCAGCTGGAGCTCTGATGGAGGGAATGTGTCAGAAGCTCCACGTCCAGACCTGGCCCACGCATGCTCCTCCGAGCCCTGACCCCTTTGTCTGCAGGTGGCAAGGCCACCCCCAGGAAGGCCTGGGAGGTGGAGTCTCAGCCAGACCAGCCTTTGGCCTCCTGCCCCCACCCAGGACTGGCACGGGAGCGAGTGTTAGACATCTGCTGTGTCTGGGTCATCATTTGTTCGGGAGCTCCGTGTGACAGCAGCCGGCCTACCTTAAACTAATGTGCCCAGCATCACTGAGCCTTGGAAAGGGGGCCAAGATTTTGGGATGTGGAATTAGGGCCCTGAGAGAAGGAGCAAGATACCATAGGGAAAACCTCCCCCAAGACCATCTGCCTCCTGGAATCAAACCAGACACTGGGTCCCAGGACTGGCAGTGAACTTCCCAACTTCCGGGTGGAAGTTGCGGCTCATCTGAACCAGCTCTGCATCCCAATGCCAGAGGACAGAGCCCCTCTCAGTTCCAAGCCCCCTTTCCTGCTACCCACCACCTCGTCACTGGGGCTGGATTACCCCTCCTTATCAAGTCCCAGCTCATCAAAGGACAGCTCGCGTCCCAGGGTCTGGGCTGGCCTGGGCTCCCCGGGAAAACAAGGCTGTTTTACAGCTGACAAAGCACTTTCCCACGTCCAGGTACATTCCCACGTGCTCCTGACAGCAGCCCACGAAGGAGGCATTACCAGCCTCTCCTTACCCTGCAGGGAGCTGAGTCTCAGAGAGTGTATGACTGTGATTTACACAAAACGACAGCTCTGGAGCCAGGACAGGGCCTCTCCAGACCCCTTGGCCATCTGCCTCCCATTTCTGTAGCCCACAGGGGAGACCAGTGGACTCCGAGCCAGGCAGGACTAGGCCCTGGGGCCGGCTGTGTGGGAAAGGCCTCTCCTACCTGGTAGAGCCCATGGTCCAACAGGATAATCTCCGCCTTTCCCGTGTCTGGCTGCTTCCGCACCAGCACGTTGCCCGGGTGGGGGTCACAGTGCACGAAGCCATTGACAAAGATCATCTCACTGTACATCTTGCCCAGGTGGCGCGAGATCTGGAAGAGAAGGGAGGTGACTGGGGGCTGATCCGCATGAACACCTGTCTCGGAGACGTCTACTCTGGTCCCTCAATCTGGCCGCTGTCAAGAGGAAGGCCAAGGGGACCAAGGGGGCCTGAGCAGCCATGGTGGAAGTGAAGGCTTGAGACTGTGGAGTTCCTGAGTTTAAACCATAAGCTGCGTTCTCATCCAGTGCTCCTTAACTTCAGCTGCACATCAGAACCACCTAGAACCCAGAAATGTCGTGGGTGGTACCCAGGCATCAGTATTGTAAGTTCCCATGGTGATTTTAATACATGCCAAAGCAGAAGAACCGCTGCTTCTGGTTTTTTTGGTGGCTGCAACACCCACCTCCCACACCCGCCCCTCCGCTCTGCCCCGATTTTTCTCTTCCCCGTTTCTCTTATCAGTCCCCTTTCATTTTTCCCCCCCCAAAGTTGAATGTGGGCTGGAAATCTGGGTTGGAGGAGTCAGTCCACTTGCTCTTCTTCCAAAGAGTAAGGCTAGGGAGCTGAGGACCAGGAACAGGTGACCCCCCCCCCCCCCACCCTGTGGCTCCAGGCCAGTCCCAGGAGGACCCAGAGTCACAGACCCGTCTCCTCTCTCCCGGCAGGCCCCTTTCCCTGCACCGCTCCTATCAGAGCCCAATGCTGATCTGATTTATGATGTCTGCACAGAAGAAATGACACTGGAGAGGCCGTTTAAATCATCCTGTCACTGCTGCTCTCCCTGCCGAGGCGGTCTTCTTATCTCTACTCCCTTTTTATTAAAGCTAAAAGCCTCTTCCCAGCTAGGGAGCAACTGCTGAACAGAGCCAGACCTGCGCCCACAGATGGTCTGCCAACGGGTTTCCATGGGACAAAGAGATGCTCAACCCAGGAAGCGAACGCCCCAGGACACACTCACTGCCCTGGGCATTTCTCTCAGCCTCAGCTGGACCCCGTGGTCACTCACAAACACACCCCAGCCAGCGGAGGGGAGCTGGGCTCATTGGGCGGGGAACACAAGGTTAGTGTCTAAAGATAAAGACTCAAGCACTTTCCTTGGCCCACAAACTCTGGCACCACCAAGTCCAGCCTCCCTGCCTGGTCTCATCTTGCACAAGGACACTCCAGCCACATCTGTCTTCTTTCTCTTCTCCAATGACCCCCATGCCTTCCTGCCTCAGGGCCTTCGCGTGTGATACTGCCTCTGCCAGGATCGTTCTTCCCATCTCCCCTTCACCTGGTTCACGCCTCTCTTTCCTCCCATGCCAGCTGAGCATCACCTCCCTGGGGAAACCTTCCCTGACCTTCCAGACTCCATGAGTCCTCCTACCATACACTCTCATAGAATGTTGTACTTTATCCTCACGGCACACGCACACTATTTAGGTTGATATGATTACTGACCATCTAGCCCACTGTCATAAGCTTCCAAGGTGGCAGGGACTGGCTCTATTTTGTTAAACAGCTTTACTGAGGTGTAATTTACATACCATAGGCTGGCTCCATTATGCATTCACTGGCCGGCAACAGGCCAAACATGTGAATGTAGGACTTGGCTTTCAACGTAAATGAGACCTTTGTCGCTATGTTTTTTCTTTGGGTTTTTTTTGTTTTGTTTTGTTTTGTTTTGTTTTTTGAGATGCCATGGTTCCTGCCTCTGATGCTCATCCTATCCCATCAATTTCCCCAGAATCCCAACGGGTTTTAATTGGGCCCCAAATCAATCAAGAATAACCCTACTTTCATAACAACAGATATCATCCTTATTAAAAGCCTTATCAGTAGGTAAAATTATAACCCCACTTTACAGATGAGAGACTGAAACACACTGAGGTTTTACAGATGAGAGACTGAAACACACTGAGGTTTAACTTCCCCAGAGCCACCTGGCTAGAAAGGGACAAAGCCAGGATTCAAACCAGGTGTGACCCCATGGCCTCCGAGTAACCATCATTCTGAACTGGTTCCCACTGACTTCTGCACTCAGCTGAACTCTGTGCCTTTAGGCAAGTGTGACTCTCAGCCTCAGTAAAATGGAAATAATAGCAGTGCCACTCACAGGGGCTACCGTAGGGGCAAGAGAGAACATCATGGTGCTGGGGACCTAGTGACCTCCGATCGGTGCCCCTATTGTTCCCGATCCCTTGGAACACTCCTGGGAGGGCAGCAGACCAGGTTTTATTGCACCTTTTTAAGAGCTGAAGAAACCAGGGGCCAAGGGATTGTCTGAAGCCCTGCCACCACGCCAGCTCCCTGGCTCCTGACATTCCCCTCAGGTGAAACCAACGCCCGGTGCTCGGCATCTGTTGGCATTTGGAGCAGGACTCCGAACCGAGTCACGTTCTCAGACTCGGGCTGGCCTGTCAGGGCTTCCAGGGCCACCATTTCCTGTGACCTGGGAAAGGGGCTCCAGCCAGAGCCAGTCCTGGGACAGCCGGCGAGTCCCTACTTCTGTGTCTCTGGGAACCCCTTTCGTTAGGCGCTTTGGAGCTCCGTGGAGCCACGCTCCAAAAGGCTGTGTTTGCCACACCAATTGCGTTTATTAAGCAATCATTCATTTTTATTTGTCAAGGATGTATATAAGGTCCATCAGGACTCCTGATCAGCCCAAGATAAGCAGTGCAGCCAGACTGCGCTGACGGAATTCCAGCCAAAAGCAGAGAAATGACATTTCATTTAGTCTGGGCAGACCTGTCATGGGGAGATGTACGATCTCCCTTAAGCTTCCTGAAATATTGCTGATCGCTCTGGGCCCCCTATTACCACAATGAAGGATGGCCCCAGGGGGTCTGGGGACTCGGGATGGGGGAGTTCTTGCCCATGAGAGCAAGCTGCTGCCACTGGAGGAGGAGCAGGTGCCGGCCCCTGCAGCCCATACACACACAAGCAAAGCGCCCAGAGAGGCCCTCCCCATTGCGACACTCCATCCGTCTGCCCCGACCTGCGTTTCTTTCCACCTAGGGGCTGCTCTTGATGTTCGTTTTAGCCAGACTTCACCAGGATAGCAGGTGTGCTAGGCAAAGACAGGAGGGAGAGCTAGCCTATGCACCCAGCTTCCCTCTGGGGCCATCTTGGTATTGCCAGTTAGGGCCTGGGTGAGATGGGGGACAAGTCACCTCCCTTGTCAGTCCAGGTCTGAGTTCCCTCGGCTGTGAAGTGGGACTGACCCTGTCTGCTCCTCTGCCTCACAGGGAAACCCCAAGATGCAAAATCAAAATGTGGTCACATATGGGAAGGCACCTTTATGTACCACACCACAAATGTGTGTGTTTGTAACAGGGTAGCTAATTATCTCAAACTTGGAAAAAAAAATATACCTGTTATCACCTTCAAAGTGTAAGTTTCAAAAAGTTAAAAGCATGACACTCATACAAATATAGAATGAACGTGTGTTAAAACCAGAGACATGGAAATAAAGGACAAATTGACAGTGACCAGAGGGGCGGGGGTGGGGGAAACAGGGGCAAGAAGGGGAAGGGACCCAGGGACAAAGACAGTGGGGGTGGGAAGGATTGAATGTGGGGGGGCGGGGTAGGGCAGGGGAGAATAATGGGGGGAAAATGGGGACAGCTGTGACTGAACAACAATTTTTTAAAAGCTTTAAAAATGTATTTGGCTCATCAGCAAAGGACCAAGCATGAAGGTAGAGTGGCTCAAAGAGAACGTTGAGGGACTGGGTGTTTGTGGGCATTTAAACAGGAACAAAAGCCCAAGATTCCTGAATCAGATACAAAACTGGTTATTGTCCTTCAAGGCAATAAGGAAATCATAACCTTGGAGGGTTATCACAACCGTATGGGGCAGAAATTATTTGCATCTCTACTGGATAAGATCTACAGGTTGACATATGACTTCATTCTGGGCCCTTAATTAATTTTTCTTTCTTTTTTTTAAACAACTGAGTTCTCTCTTTTTTAAAAAAATTTTATTTATTTTTAGAGGGAGATAGAGAGAGAGAGAGAAACATCAATGTGCGGTTGCTAGGGGTCATGGCCTGCAACCCAGGCATGTACCCTGACTGGGAATTGAACCTGCCACACTTTGGTTCGCAGCCCGCGCTCCCTTAATTAATTTTTCAACAGCAAAGTCTAACAAAAGTGCATTCCCCTAAATATTAAAAAAATCCTTTGGGGAGCTGGTTGAACAATGCTCAAACATGACTTTAAAAACATACTGCATACTCCTGGCCTTATTTCTAAATTTGGCGTAATTTTTCTTTACATTTGTCAGAATTGTACTAAACAGTCTCTGAGAGCCAATTTGCCCAGAAAAAGGCAGCCAGTTCCCTCCAACTCACAAAGACACCGAGGGTCCCAAGAGACATCTAAGGCTGTCACTGGGCACACAACCTTCTGTCCTACCCCTTCCGAGATACTTTAGCTATGCCTCATTAGGAAGAGCAAACAATTGACCTTTTGGCTTTTGGCTTTTGGCTTCCGGCTTGGAGGAGGCTTAGGTGCAATTTTCTTTGGTTGTCCCAAATCCAGGCTCATCCGACACAAGCCGCCTCCACCATTCTGCCAAAGCTTGACCCCAACAAGATCAAACTTGTACACGTGAGGTGAACCAGTAGGGAAGCTGGTGCCATGCCTGGCCCTGGTCCCCAAGATTGGCTCCCTGGGCCTCTCTCCAAACATGGTTGGCAATGACATCACCAAAGCAACCGGTGATTGGAAGGGTCCCAGGATTACAGTGAAATGGATCATTCAGAACAGACAGCCAAGACTGAGGTGTACCTTTTGCCCCTGCCCTGATCATCAAAGCCCTCAAAGAACTGTGAAGAGACAGAAAGAAGAAAAGTAAAAAACCATCACGCACAGTGGAAATATCACATTTGAGGAGGTTATCGACATTGTCCGACAGATGCGACACTAGAAAACTCTCTGGAACCCTAGAGAGATCCTGGGGACTGCCTAGTCTGCGGGCTGCAGTGTCGATGGCCACCACCCCAATGACATCATAGGTGGCATCAGCAGTGGTGCAGTGGAATGCCCATCTAGTTAAGAACTA